ATATCTATCTACCTATCTACCTACCTACCTACCTATCTATCTATCTATCTATCTATATATATATATATTGCCGAAATATTGTGTGTAGAAGTTCGTGAGGTGTAGCAGCTGTTCTGAGACATGAATCGGCCTGGCTGTACGTAGAGATTCGAGAAACGGATATATGCAATATATTTACACGATGTTCAGGGTAACGATATCGGTGAGTGTATACTGTGTCGAACGTCTCGTGACGACGATGTGGAGGATGAGCTCGCTGGGATGCTGCATTGCTACGGTAGCCGAAGCCATGCTCACTCGCCGCGATGCACGCATCGGGTTTTTTTGCGCGGCATTCAACTCGTGTTTATTGCATGTAATCGAGAACTAATAATACCTATTATTAGGTATTATTATTAGGTATCGTTAGCTATTGATGTAATTCAAATACAAGTGCATGTACTGAAGACGGTTTTTTTCATGGTTTCTGCAGATAAGAACGATTGTGCTCCGGATCCGTGCAGAAATGGTGGATTGTGTACCGACCTGGTCGCCGATTTTGCTTGTCAGTGCCGGGACGGCTGGAAGGGCAAAGTGTGCAACCTCAGTAAGTGGTCGTGGCAGCGTTTTTCAATGTGCCATAACACTAGGTTTGGTGTTAGTTCTACCAGGTTGCGAGTGATATCGTGAAATCAGAAGGAATTTAGGAAAGTAGGGGTGTAGAAACGTTCAGCGTATTATGTACATAATAGCAGTAGAGGCGTGATTGGTGAAATTGCAAATTTGTTTCTTTTATTTGCCACGTCGATCAAATATTTACACGTTATCACTTTTCGAAGTAGCATCAAACGAAGATTTGCACGTCCGTTTTCCGTAAGGTGTTTAATTGTCAGAACAGTCTCTCTATATATTGAAACGTATTCAGATGAGAAACTGTCGTGTATAGTAGTTGCCACGTGCAAATATGTTCATTCGCATTTTTTTCATTATTTTGTTTTTGTGCTGCAGGAAACAGCCATTGCGATGCGAGTACTTGCAGAAATGGAGGCACGTGCATTGACCTGCCTGATTCGTTCGCCTGTCACTGCCCGCGTGGATGGACGGGCAGTGTCTGCCACATACGTACGTGTGATCGTCTGCTAGTCTCTATACCAGAGGTTCTTAACCTGTGGTTCATGGACCTCTTTTGGGTCCGTGGATGGGATTCCGGGGGTCCGTGAACCAGGCGCATGAAAATTATTGTGTTCATGTGCTTATGTGCATTTTTTGGGGGAAGGGTTCGTAGTTTTCACCAGATTCTCAAAGGGGTCAATGACTCAAAAAAAGGTTAAGAACTACTGCTCTATACCTTCATGGATGTTCACCACTCTCATATCAGTTCTGCTCTGCATTTGATTACTTGGTTATGGAATTTTACTGGTAATGCTTTACTGCATTTGATTGCTTGGTTATGGAATTTTACTGGTAATGCTTTACTGCATTCGATTGCTTGATTATAGAATTTTACTGGTAATGCTTCATTCTGATCTTGTTTGCAGCGATAAATAACAGTTGCGCACAGAATCCGTGCAAAAATGGCGCCACGTGCGTGACGAGTGGCTCCACCTACACCTGCATCTGCACGTCTGGCTACGAGGGCAGGTTGTGTGAAGTGGACACTGATGACTGCAGTCCTTTGCCTTGGTAAGTTCTTCCATGTAGCACTGGCGTACGCGCATAAACATGAAATCTGCATTAATAGGTTTTACGATTAGCAGGGTTTCCCAGAAAATCTATAACTGATTATATTGCAGTAACTAGTGTAAATTATGCAGTGTCTCATTTAATAATAAGATGTTCTGCGATCAGCTGGGTTTCCCAGAAAATCTCTAACTGCTTATATTGTAGTAATACGTGTAAGTTATGCAGTGTCTCATTTCTGCCTCGCTTACTTGCTCTGCAGTTACAACGGTGGCCGGTGCATTGATGGCATCAACTGGTACATGTGCGAGTGTGCCCAGGGTTTCACAGGGCCAGACTGCAGATTTGGTAAGCATCACAAGTTTACTGGTTTTATACTGTATCATATAACGCTGACAATTTACCAACCATGCAGACGTTCCATGGTAGTGCAATTAGGCAGTGCTAAATGGCTTCGTGAATGGTAATATTTCTGAATGGTACCGTTTTGCACTTCCGAAATACCGATCGCTTAGTTAACTCACTAGGAGTGCTTGCCATGCAAGAAAGTATCCCATGCAGTGCAGTGATCATGGGATTTTGACGTTATTTTCCAGAAATTAACGAGTGTGCATCGGACCCATGCCAGTTTGGCGCGACCTGCGTCGATGGTATCGGCAAATACACGTGTGTGTGCCCACCCTACAGAACTGGAAAACTATGCGAGCTAGGTAAGGCTACGTGCTGCCCCCAAAATGCTCTGCGTAAGCCAATCTATATGGAGTATGAAATGATGATAGGGCTAAGTGCAGTTTAGTGTACCTGAGGCATGCACACTGTAGTTGTAATTGCAAGAGTAAATGGAGGAAATGAACGTGTTATACTGTAAAATGTATGCGTAAAATGCACTACTGTTCCGCCTTCCTCACCGTACTCATCTACAACTCATACTTGGTAGTCGACGCTAACCTATCGGCCTGCTTACGTTGCAGTGATGTCGGGCAGGGAGACTTGGAAGCGGTCATGCGTGCGAGACAGACAGCAGTACCCCGACGGACAGACGTGGCGAGAGGGATGCAACAGCTGCACCTGCAACGATGGCAACGTAGATTGCACACAGGTATGCTTGTTAATTACAGCAGCATGCACAGACAGTCAGTGCAATTCGTTGCAGTTAGTGGTCATCCACCATTTTGTCGTTATCATTGGTCAGTGGTCAGTTATATGGTTATCCATATAATGTGAGTTGTCAGTATAATCATATATAATATATGGATATCCATGGAGTAAGAGTCATTAATTATGGCTCGAGATCTTTGCCCGTAACTAATGTAACTAATCTGTAACAGCTTACAGTAGAATATGCATCTAAATAATAAATTGAACTACAAGTGAATTAGTGTTATTAACCTCAAAAGAAAAACTGTAAAAAAAAACGCAACGATCGTGCATGCACGGGCGAGTATACGTGCACGACAATAAAAGTACCGGTAATCGATTTCTACTAGATGCAATGTTTGACGGCAGGATGTAGGCCTAGGCTGTCATTTCAAGTTAAACTCGACTATTGTGGGTAGTCAAGGTTAACTATGGGTGTCAGCTGTAGCTAGTCTGCTGTAGTAATGCTTGTGGCATATTGGTGGATGATATCTATCTAGTATTAATCTCCATTTTATTACATTACCGACTCACGTCACATTCGTACGCCTTGCAGTTGTGGTGTCCCTCTTCAAACTGCCTGTCCGGAGACCCAGCCAGCCGCTGTCCGATCAGTCAACAGTGCATCATGGTCGCCGACGCCACTTGTTTCACGCCGCCGTGCATGCCGTGGGGGGAGTGCAGGGACCCGGTCGTGCCGGCGTCGGTGGCTCCCTCTCACGACTGCCGGCCTAACCACGCCGAGCTTAGCAGCAGCTGTGTCCGAATCTCACTGTTCTTTGACAAGAACAAGATGCCAGTGGTATGTGTGACACACAGAGATGTTCATGCACAACCTGCATTAATTACTGCATTAATTGCTGCATTAATTGCTGCATTAATTGATTTCTATGTGAATTTCTATTGAATTGTGACGCGATTAAGATAATTGGTTAGCATTGAGAAATTGCTTGTAATGTCTGAAGACGTACATTTTCGGTTTAGCATACGTTTCACTTGTTTGACAAGTTGTTTCAAAATCAAAATCAGTTCATTGTGAACGTCAAAGTGAGTAACCTTGCATGTGTTTATTCGTGCAATAACAATATATTAAGAAGCGCGCACAATGAGCGAAGCATTTCTGTACGTGCGAATTTAAATTGTCGATACCCAGTGCAGGCTGATAATATCTGTGTTTTTGCCTTACAGGGAATAACAGTCGAGTACCTCTGCACTATGATCAGCAGACTGCCCCACCTGGTGGCGATGACAATAAACAACCATCTGACCATTCAATGCGATCAGAAGAGCAGTGTAGACAGCACATTGGAAATCACTGTGGTATGTGTGTCAAATGTATGGCAGCAGATAAAACCCTTACCCCCTCAACATAACGCTGTTGTGGCCTATGCGTGTTGTGCGCTATCGTTTATGCACTTGTGGCATCTGATCTTCCCTTCACCATTTCAACAGATATCATTGGTTATATAGATTTATATAGATTTATACAGTATGCTGCATGATAGGTTTCAACGTTGTGATCGATGGAATATGACCAGTTGGTCCCAATGTATGTGCAAACATTTACATATAACATCGATATGTAAATTCAGTTCGCGACACTGTTGTTCGTTAGTGGCTCCAGACCAGGTCGCTAACGATGCGTTTGCTTATTACTATAGTCTGGCTCCGACGGATCGCGCACCATCCTCGAGGTGGCCAGCGGTGTGCGCGATGCGATTGCGCAGCAGTCAGGGCGGCAGTCTAGCCTCGCCGGCCTCACGCAGGTGCAGATCGAGTCTGGTGAAGTGACGCGGCCAGGTGAGTGTGTTAGCTCGTGCTTTCCTACGCGTGATACATGCGGGAGTAGGGTAATACGTGAACCATTGTGGGAGAGTACAGCTAGAGTAGTCAGGTGTCAATAATACTTTCACTTCTACTTCTACTTCTATACTGGACAGTCCGTAAGGAATAAACGTCCAGGGCGGGTGTGACCTAGCTTGGGTAAAGCCAGGTAGTTAGCCTTTTAGCCGAATGGCACTGAGGGTGGTCACGGCCAGAGTTTTTTTTGCACTTTTGGTGGTTCTTTTACGTCCCCATTGGAGGACTGGAGGGATAGGTTGTCAGCAGCATCTTGGAGTGGTGGGTGGTAGTAAACCTGAAGGGGGAGGGGGTGTTGGCAATTATCTTGCAAGAGGTCAGGGCCGTAGGCTGAGCAAATGCTTAGAGGGGGGGGGGGCAATGACGGATCCAGGATTTCAAGGAAGGGGTGCGAAATAAGTGGTGGGTCTGGGGGTCCTACCCAGAATATTCTGAAAATGTAGATCGCAGAGGTGGGTGGTAGTATGTTTAATGTGGTGGGGTGGTAGAACACCTGAAGGGAGGAGGGGGGCATCAATTGTCTTGCAGAGGTGGGTGGTAAAATTTTTAATGTGGCGTGGTGGTAGTACACTTGAAGGGGCGGGGGTAGCAGCAGTTATCTTGCAAGATTTTGCAGTATTTTTTAATGTCATGGCAGTAGACCTGAAGGGGTCACGTCATGCCAAGCATTATTTAGCTTTTGCCATTTTGTCATAGAGGTCATTATGTAACGGTGAAATTATATATATATATATATATATATAGTGAGAGTCAAATGCTTTGCCCCTAATACTTACGTATATATAAAAATAAATAATATAAAGCTTACGTTAAAGCTAGCAAAAGCTGTCGTGACAAAACGAAACTCTCATAGCGACCCCTGACTAACAAAAAACAATCCGACCGAATGCCGAAACAAAAAACGAACGCGCTCTCTTGTTTCTGTCGCCAGGCTACGTGACGCCGGTCGTCTGCGCGGCGATGGCCGTCGTCGGCGCCGTCGCCGTGCTGCTGCTCGTCGCGTGTCACCGGCGGCGACGACGGAAGCGGCGGGCGTCTGCCGCGCACCGGGAGCGACTCGCCGGCAAGCTTCGCTCGCTGGACGATCAGGCGAAGACGAACAACCAGAATCGCGAGAACCTGCGTCGCTACCACAACCCGCTCGGCCGCAAGGACAACGTGGTGCCGTCGAGCGAGTCGAGCGACGTCATGGAGCTCGACCTCGAGCTCGATAAACCTCCGCCGCTGGTGGCGCCCCCCGGCGGCGGCATCCCGCGCGACCTCTACAAGGTGTCGTCGCCCGAGGCGCGCAAGAACACGAACGTCGTGCACAACCGGTTGGACGCGGCGACGCCGCCGCCGCCGCCGCCGCCGCCAAAGGATCTGAACTTGCGAGCGTCTCGGCAGCAGCAGCAGCAGCGGACGCGGCTGAGCCCGGAGCGCCTTCTGGAGGTGATCGTGTAGCGGCGGCTGGCGCCCCATTGTGCCGGCGGCGGCGGCGACCGACCTTGTGATATGTGACCGAGCGCCGTCCGTCCTGCAGTTTCACTACCAAAGCCGTCTCCCTCCACTCGCGCGCGCGCGGGTACGCAACGCCCCGCGCCGGCACTTCGCCGGTCAGAAAGACGGGCCAGACGACCGGTCAAACGATTGTACGTGCGCGCGCGGTGGGGCGAGGGTCTTCGTTTCGTCGTCCAGCTGTCCCGCGTATCGATGCGCTCGACCGTGATGCGGAGGCTGAGGAGACGCCGGCCGATCGCCGTGGCGACGACGACTTGCGGCGATCGAGCAGAATCTTCCATTCCGTGCCGTCAGGCGGCGCATCGGGCGCGGTGCAGGAGAGGAAGGAAAATCAGTTCGCGTTGTTGAGGGGGATTCTCGCCAAGCGGCCCGTGTGCGTACGTACGTACGACTCACGTTGCATAGCTGGGAGCCGAAAGGAGCCGAGAGAGAGAAATCTATTTGCGATGAAGTGCCACCTTCCAAGCGAACCAACCACGCGCGCTTTAGGTGTCTGTGCGTGCGTGCGTGCGTGCGTGCGCGTATATATACGCTGTTGAGCACAGTGGCCCACACGCATGCTTCGCGTTGCCACTGCGCCGTTGTTCCATGTAGCTAGCTTTGTCGATGTTACGGAAACCGTGCCACGAAGAGACAACCGCGAGATATGTAGCTGGTTGTAAAAGCATTGTACCAAGAAGAATGTCCAGATTGATGGAGAAGGTACGAGCGAGAGAAGCTGGATGAAGATGGAGAGAGAAAGAGAGAGAGAAAGAAGAGAAAAAGATAGCTGCTATTTTGCTACTGCATTGTGGACTTTTTTGTGTTGTAAATACAGCATATTTATTTTATTTATGGCCTGTAAATAAGTAAGAAGAAATCTGTGTATATGTGACGTTATTTAAAATGCTTGTGTACTATTTATGTACGTACTGAAGGTAAGTACAAAAAAGGTTTAATGCCACTGTCTGTAGTTTATGTTTTCATGTAGAACGTATAACTTTATTTTTTCAACCAAAGATAAAGAATGACAAGTATCGTGACAATGCTCGTACCCTAAACACTCCGAGAGTTACAGAAGCAAGACAACATGGGAAAAACGTGTCTTTTGTTCTGAGAAAAATTTATTTACTCCCCCCCCCCCCGACCCACAAAAATGAGAACGAACGCAAATCAATTAATCGAATTATTTACATACATTATGCGTCATTATTCAGAGATGCGTAGCCATGGTAACGTGTAGGTGGGTATAGCTTGTTAAGCGACTGTGTCGTTCGGGAACATTTCGTCTGCGCATGCGTAGCGGGGATGCGTTATAACGCAGCGTCTAGGAATGCTCCCCGCAGCTCCTGCGACTATTTATAGCTAGTTACATATTTGCTACTGATGGCGGTGGTGGCTAGCGCACACACATACGTGCAGCTTCCAAGTGCTCAAGGTAAAATGGCGGCCGTTGCTTCGTTGCTTTCTATTTAAAACGCCAACGGCGCTGTGACGTCGTGTCGTGATTCGTCCCTGAAGTACATGAATTAATTACGGCAAGCGATAGGTCTTCTCATATGTCGATTCTTTTCCAAAAGTTGCGCGGGGGAAAAAGTGAAGTGACCCTCCCCGCGAGTGCTCTCCCGTGAGAAGGTCTGTGCGGGGGACGCGTGCATGAAGTGGGAGAGGACCGTTCGTTTTGTTCCTCTTCCCGCCGTTCGTTTCGTTCAGTGACGTTTTTCTTCTTCTTGATGATTCCGCTGCTGATGTTCCCTTGCAGCAAATTGCGAAATGACGCCATGTTGCTTTAGTTACACTGTTCTTGCGTTTGGGGGCGCTGCCTGTTACGCGGCCCGTTTCCTTGTAGTTAGACGAAGACGCCTCATCGAAAGATGAAGAAGTCAGAGTTTTTCACGCACCGGTAGCGATAATATGCTCATCTGTCATCTCTGGCGGCCATAACAGCAAGACATGAATAATATTATACTATATATATATATATATATATATATATTATATATATATATATATATATATATATATACATATATGTATGTGTGTGTTATAATTTTATAATTGAAACAACAGAACAGTCGTGACAAATACAAGCGCGCGTATGTAGCTTCGGAAGTCACGTGACTAATACGTCGGCGTGCGACGTATGCGCAGCTAACTTGTAAATGTCGCCAGATGAGAATCGAATGAGCATATGATATCGCTAGTGGTGCGCGTAGTTTCTATATCTGTTCGGTAGGTTCATAGTTGGTTCAGTTGAAGGCGCTTTAGTGAATGCGTGTGTGATTAATACGCTGATGGTGATATAGGTCTCCTATTGGTCTCTTGGTCAATGTTTTTTTCGCTTCAAACATCGCTACTGATGGCAGCAGGTCAAGCTAATTATTTCTGTTATTTTAATATATTTCTGGTAAGTTTTATGACGACGACGATAGTAATACTAGTAAGTTATCGCATGATTAATTGTAAACTGATTCAGAGGTAGTGATGGATGAGAAGAGATATTTAGTTTATTAACTTATTATAGAGCGATAATTTTTTTATTTTAATTTTTTCGAGATTAACGGTGGTAAATGAAGCCAGGTTTCTCCTGGTTTCTCGAATGACTTCGGGAAGGGGTAATTTCCCATGTTTCCACTATAGTAGTGATAAGAACAAATGCGTAACGGTTGTGCAAACGCAAGCAGCCATTTCCCTCATCCCCAGTGAGAAACGCGTGAAAGATGAGCGAGCGTTTATTGAGTGTCCTTTTTGTATGTAAATTTCTTTGAGCCTCGATTTCTTCGATTTAAATTCCATTTCTTCAGTGAGCCAGGGCCTTATTCTCATGGTCTTAATGTAAACTTTGAGAAATAAAATATTGTCTATAATGTATATTTTTGCGTTACCTCGTTGAACTTCTATTTCTGTCGTCATACGCACGTCTTTGACTGACTCTAAATGTCTCTGTTGCCGAGGCCACGAGTTTTCTCGACGACTTGCGGAGTCAGTCTAAACTTGCTGTGCGATCGACGCAGTTTTGGTATTTATATAGCCGCCATTTTTTTCTGTGATGAAATTTGCGTAATGGAGAATCTTACGTCCGACACGAAGTTAATACGAGAGAAGTATAAACACATCACAGCAATACGTCTCGTTCGCATACGCAAACTACGTGCAGATTTCCCGCACCGATTACGCTGCGTTTAATCAACGTTGAGAAATGTACAACAACAACGTACGCGAACATAATTCGTACAAATGTAGCCTACGTGAAAGAAATGTACGCGCGTGGAAACAGGGCGAGTCATGCAGCGGGGAGAAACTCAGACGACTAGGCAAACATGGCTGGGGTGGAGTGTCAGACTACCAAACGCGCTACGTTTGGACAGATGTTCGTGCCAAAAAACCGTTACAAACTCGGTTCCTGAGCGCATTGACCGCACGCACGTATATCCGAATGCTCTTGGAGTAATCATTCTGAAGTCAGAATCAGAATCAGAATCAGTCTGAATCAGTCAGAATGATTACTCCAAGATTGAACAAACGAGACCGAAATTAACGCAATAGCGGAACACAATTTGCATTTAGAACGCGGATTCCTCCTCGTAGTGAATACAAGCTTTACGTTCCTTAGCATCGCTCGATAAGAGCACGTGTATAAACGTGACGTAAAAAATGATCTAAACGTCGCAGCGTCTTTGAAAATTGCGTTCTTATTCTGTAACAAAACGCACGGTCACAATTGTGAACACATTTATGTCTACGTCCTCTACTATCTGCTTGGCGTTGAGAGACACCGTGCTCGTTACTCGTTAGAAAGACATTACGATTAATATTTTCGTTTACTAATTCGAATGTGACGCAATATGAGACACCGGGTTCATCCTCTACAACGGGCAGCGTCACCGCCGATAGCTGCTGATTATTAATTATCATTAATTATTATTAACGATCATTGATGAGCAATCGTCACTAATCAGCGATAAGGATGCGAGAGATAACAAACAGCTAGCTATAGTTAGTATATCTAATATCACAGCTCATTATGGTGATGCGTACAAGCCACTTCTACTGCGGGAAGCGCGTGAGCTAGTACGACAGGTAAAGAATATAGACTTTCTACGAATTCGAGACGCCACTGGATCAAGCTTAATTAGCAGTGTTGTTATTTGATGATTGATTGTTGGTTTAGATGATCAATGACTTCTAAATAATCCACGAAAAGCTAGCTTTTTTTACGAACGAATATCACACAGTATTCTTCCAGGTTTCACACATTCACACATTTCTATATCCGCCCGCGCACGCGCACGCACACGCGCACGCACGCGCGCCCACGTATTATAAGCGTACTCGCAGATGCGGAAAACAAATTTGCCATGAAAATGCTCAGTTACCTAGTGGCAATCCACTGTACTATTCTTTCTATACTTACAAGCATAGATAATGTCGAAGGTTTGACGATTACTATAGATGGAATAATCAGGCGCAAAACACATGAACGCCTACGCACGAACACGCACGCACACGCACCAACGCTGGCACAAACATACACGGCGTGAGAACATGCGCAATGTCTGTATATTGTAGACAAAAAACATTATTCTAATAACAAGCTGTATTGCTAATTTTTAAGCTATAATGGAGGGTTTACAACCAACGTTTAATAGGTTATAAATAACGGCATCATGCGATGACATTTTTAACAGCTGCCAATGTAGCTAGCAGGCAAATAAAAATTCAAATAATAAAAAACAAAACATAAATGACCAAAAATAACATTGTCATCACTAATTCGGCTCGTGAGGAATGTATCATTAAAAGCGACTGCTTGGAAAGGGTACATAATTGCTAAGACAACAACACTATGTATGAATATGTCATAAATTAGATGGATTATACTTATTGGTTTATATTATTTGTTAGACAAACTAATATAAATATGCTTGAAATTGTTATACTATGTATTCATAAACATCAATGTC